GGGTGCCAGGGGCTGGCATGGGGGGACGGGGCCCCCCGTGGGCAGGGGGCTGGAGGGGCTTGGGCACCCCGTGGGCACTGGGGTGCCAGGGGCTGGCGTGGGGGGACAGGGCACCCCGTGGGCAGGGGGCTGCCAGGGCTGGGGAGGGGGGTACTCACTGATGAGGTTGGTGGATTTGGGGGCCACAAAGAAGTCGGGCAGGTAGAGCCACTTGATGAGCGCCGAGTTGATGGGGAAAGCCCGGCTCCAGCGCCACGGATAGTCTGGGGGGGGCGGTGGGCACGGTCAATACCGGCCCCCCAGCCCCTTCCCCAGGGCAGGCAGCCTGCCCACGCACGGACCTCCGCCTCCCTGACCCCTGCGAAGGACGGGTGCCCCCCATGCCCCCTGCCCCTTACCCACGCAGAGGGCGGGCGGCATGCCCACGCACAGCAGGTACTGGTAGAGGAGGAAGATGACGAGGAAGAGGCAGTACTTGGGCCAGAGGCGGGCGATGGCCGCCCGCCGCCGCCGTGTCAGGATGAAAACCAGCCAGCAGCCATGCAGGATCACCATGAAGTTCATCCGCTGCCCGATCACGTTCACCGTCATCAGGAAACAGATCTGGGGGGGGGCGGGGAATGCAGAGGCTCAGCCCCGGGGTGCTGCGAGAGGTGGGACCCTCCCTGCGGCACCCGCTCCCCACCTCCAAGCCAAACTTGTAGTAGAAATAGTTGAGAAAGTATTTGGCACAGCTGCCGAGGCCATGGTCGAGGTGCTCGCGGGAGACGTCCTCGAAGATGGTCTCGGTGACGGGGGCCACCAGCTGGTGTTGCTTGCGGTAATACTCCTGGCGCCGGTACACCACCGCCTCAAACACCAGCAACAGCAGCACCAGGAGGTGGTTCTGGAGGGACGAGGGGGTGCTCAGGACCATGGCAGGCCGCTGAGCATCCCCCCAGCGTGGTCCCCACGGACGGGGTGTCCCCGTGCCCACCTGGATGTAGCCCAGGTTGGGGTAGCCCTTGCGGATGCCAAACCAGTTGGCAGGGTCCACGGGGCCGCGGTACAGCGTGGAGTTGCCCAGCTCCTCCGGGTTCAGGTTGGTGCCGTTGAGCTGGGGCTGCAAAGGGGAGCACCACCGGGCGTCAGCACCTCTCGTTCCTGCCGCCAGACCCCACCTCCAGCCAGGGAACCCCCCAGTGCCGCCACAAGCACCCCAAGAACCGGGCATCCCCCCGGCACGGCCGCCCGGGCACCTGGGTGCAGTTGCTGGAGTACTCGCTGGGGTCAACGATCTTGAGCTGGTAGAGCATCTTGCAGACAATGATGATGCAGGTCCAGACGGTGGAGAGGCAGGAGGCCATGTGGCGGAAGCGGCAGTAGGGCATGGCGAAGGCCCACAGCAGCACCAGCAAGAAGTTCATCAGCGATACCTGGGGCAGCGGTCGCGTCAGCACCCTGGGGTGCCCGGCCGAGCCCACCCGCCCCGGGTTCCCGAGGCTGGTACCTCCTGCAGGGCCACCCAGACGGTGTAGAGAGCCACCAGCTTGAGGACATGGAGCTCCAGCAGGCGCCCCACGAAGACCTGCCCGCGGGTCAGCGTGTTCGAGAAGGTCCAGCCCAGCACGATCAGGCGCTCCAGCACCAGCCCCCATTTGGTGGGCACTGCGGGGACATGGACCGTCACAGACACCCCCGCAGCCACTCCGGCTTGGAGGACACCCCAATCCATCCCTGTATCCTCCCGTGCTTGGAGGACACCCCAATCCATCCCTGAACTCCTCCAGCCCCTTCCTGGCTCGGAGGATGCCCCAACCTACTCCCATACTCTCCCACACTTGGAGGATACCCCAGTCCATCTCCGTACCCTCCCAGCCCCTTCCTGGCTCAGAGAACATGCCAATCCATCCTCATCCCCTCCCAGACTGGGAGGACACCCCAATCCATCCCTGCATCCTCCCAGCCCCTTCCTGGCTTGGAGGATGCCCCAATCCACCCCTGCATCTCCCTACCCCATCCTGGCTTGAAGGACACCCCAATGCATCTCTGTCCCCTCCCAGCACCTTGTCCCCACCGTCCCTGCCCGGTACCCTGTGATGCGGTGTCGGAGTTGCCCATCCCGGCACTCTCAGCAGCGGCTGCATCCCGCAGCAGCCGGCTCCCGTGCAGCTCTTCAGGCCTGCGGGGAGGAGGGTTCAGTGCGGGGATGGGGGGCTCAGGGTGCAGAGGGGTCACCCCGGCACAGGGCCCTACCTGGGGATGTGGCAGGGTGCCGGGGTGGCAGCAGGGACGTGCTCCAGGTCGGTGATGTGCATGAACGGACGGTGGAAGTAATGGAGCTGGAGGATGCAGGCCAGGAGGAAGAAGCCCGGGATGAGGGTGCTGGAGAAGAGCTCGGAGACGCTGAACTGCTCCAGGCCCAGGTCACCCAGCCTGGGCAGGGAGGGGAGGGTCAGCGCGGGGCCACATCCATCCCACCCCGCATGGGCATCAAGCCTACACACTGGGGTTCAACCCCAACTCGCCCCGTGCCTCAGTTTCCCCATGTGCAATGCATCCCTTGGCCATGCCCCGGTGCCACCACGGGGCTGGTGATGGCAGGGACCCCGTGGCGGGTCGGGGTCACTCACTGCTCATCGGTGAGGCCCGTCAGGTTCTTCCAGTACATGGGGAAGTCCTCGAACTGGAAGGTGTAGACGGCGATGAGCACCAGCATGGTGTATGCCACCACCAGCCACCAGAAGCCCTTCAGCACCTTGCGCCACAGGCTGTAGTACACCTGCGGGGATGGGGACGTCAGCAGCACCACGCCAGGGAGGGGGATGGGGACGAAGAGGGGTCCCCGGCCACCCTACCTGGAAGAGGGTGAGGCAGAGGAGGAAGAGGAACATGTAGACGATCTTGTAGACGACAAGGCGCCCGGCGAAGCTCACCACGATGAACATGCCGGCACAGACGCAGATCCAGTATTTGGCGTAGAAATCCCGCACCAGCACCCCCAGCGCCTTCAGCACGTCCCGCTGCCGGCTGGGCTCTGCAAGGCAGGGAGGGGGCTGCAGGCAGCCGGGCGGGGGGCACGTGTGTCCCCCCCTCCCCGGCAGCTGCCGGCCTCCAGGCACTCGCACCCTGGGGATGCTCAGCCCGGCGCAGGGTCCCTCTGGGTGGGTGACGCCGGGAGCCCTCACCCGTGTCCGAGACGGTCACCTCCAGGAGCGGGGTGGCCGGACACCTCCTCGTTAGAAGCTTCTCCTTAACGAACTGCCGCAGCAGCAGCCAAAAGGTGAGGGTGAGCAGGAGCTGCGGGGACAGGCGGTGAGTGGGGACAGCCGGCTGCCAGCGGGGACAGGGACGGGGACACCAAGCTCACCTTGGCCCCCAGGTCCAAGCAGGGATATTTGGGGTGCACCAACCCCAGCTGCTCGAGGCTCATGAAGCCGACGCGGGTGGGGAGCTCGGGGGCCAGATCCATGCCCCAGACGTACTGCAGGCTGCAGAGAGCGATGCCGTAGAGGAGGAGGAAGGGCGAGCAGAGCATGGCGAAGTGATGCCGGCTCCGTACGGTCCAGATGAGGCATGCCCAGAGCAGCAGCACGAAGGTCAGCCAGCTGTGGTAGGTGATGCTCCACACCTGAGGGCAGGCAGGATGCGGCCACTCGCCCGGGCGCAGTTTGGGACGTGCCCCCCGTGTCCGTCCCCTCCCCAGCCCCTTACCATCATGGCGATGAGGGCGCAGACGTAGCTCTGGTTCATGATGACGTGGCCCAGGGTGTGCAGGGGCAGTCGCTCCGCTGGACGCCTCCTGCCTGGCCACGGGGATGGGGACCGTGAGCCACCCCCCAGGCCACGGGCAGGGCTTGGGGAGGGGGAGGCGGCGGGGACTGGCTTACCCGGCTGTGGCAAGTTGCCCATGACATGGACGGTGCAGTTCTCGGTGCCGCTGCCTGGCTTCCCGGTGCTGGGGGACAGCATGGGCTGGGGGGGTAGAGAGGGCTCAGAGCTCACCCTGGCACCCCCACAGCACCCCGCACCCATTCCCCTGCAGCTTGGGCATCGCTTGGGGGGCACAGCCCCCCCCAAACCCACCTTGGTGTCCTCAGCCATGCCGTCAGTGTCCTTGGGCCAGCTCTCCAGCTCCACCACCTCCCTCTCTGGGCACCTCACCGGTGGCCGTGCCGGCGCCGCGGTTCTCTGCGAGGGGCAGGAGCCAGCTCAGGGCACCCCACTGCAGCCGCCGGGGGAGCAGGATCATGCCCCATCCCTCTGCTGAGGCACCCCTCAGCCATGGGCACCCCACTGCCCCCCGCCTCCCCTCCACCGAGCACCCCCGGTGCCAGGGCTGGGGCAGTCAGAGCAGCGGGACACACCGGGCATCGGCACGGGGTCCAGCTCGGCCCTGCAGCCCCTCACCCTGGCGTCCAGCCGGCGCAGCTTCACCAGGGTGGCCATGGTGTAGTAGAGCAGGAGCAGGATGCCGGGGTTGGCGTAGACGGGCCAGGGGTGGCCGGTGTTGAGCACCAGGGCGTTGGGCCGGGAGCAGTTGCGGTACAGGACGATGTCCTTGAAGCCGAACACCCTGCGGCGACAGAGCGGGTGGCATTATCACCCGCCCGAGCCGGGACCCCCACTGCCAGCCAGGGTGCCATCCCGGCATTGCACATGGCTTCACCAGGCAGCCTCCGGCCACCCTCCCCGGGCCAACCACTCAACCAGGGTGGCATGGGGACCCACAGCACGGCTCCCTCCCCGGGGACTCACCGTGCCCAGATGGTGGGGGGCGGGAAGACCCCCTGGACGAAGGGCGCCTGGTAGGCATAGAGGCAGAGGAGGTGGCCACCGGCGTAGATGCCGACGAGGACGCAGAGGATGTCGAAGGCCAGGCGGCTGGCGGGGAGGTGGCAGGCCCACCACGTGCACAGCCCCACGAAGAGCAGGTAGTAGATGCTGGAGGAGGCGGAGGGCAGGGTGATCCCTGGGGAGCAGCGCCCCGCGGGCGGTCAGTGCGCGGCCGAGCAGCCTCCGGCCATGCAGCCCCCGGCTGAGCATCCCCCTGGATGGAGCATTCCCTCCGGCAGCACGGCCACTGAGACCCCCCCCCAGCTCACCGCGTGCCCCCCACGTCCCATACCCACCGGCCAAGGCCAGCAGCAGGATGGCCAGACCCTTCCCGGCCGCCCAGAGCAGCCAGTGGGCCGTCACCCGCAGCCTGGTGCTGAGTGGCGTGTCCCCGGCGGCCGTGCCACCGTGTCGCTCCACGTCCTCCTCTTCCCCCTGCCAAGTGAGATCATGGCGTGAGCCTCGTGGCCCAACCCCGGGCAGCCCACCAGCTCCAGGCTGCTCCTGGCCGTGCCTCAGTTTCCCCACTTGAGGGAGAGCACGGGTGGACGGCCGGGGCACCCTGCCCGGCGCTGTGCGGGCACGCAGCCCGGCACCTGGCCGTGTTTATCTCATTAGCCGCTTGGAAAGCGCCTCCAAAAGGCGGCTGTTTTTCTTGGCGCCAGTACCCGGGTTCCCAGCACTGAGCTTTTTTCCAGACTGCCTCCCGCGCTGGCCCCGTGCTCACGGCAAAGGCATTCGCATCGGCCGGCGCTCTGGTTACAGCCTGGCCACGGCTGAAGCCGGGCAAGCGAGCGCCCACCACAACAGCCCAGATCAGCGGGGAGCACCCCAAAATGGGGCTGAGCCCTGGAGGGTGTTTGCTGAGCTGGTGGGTGCCATCAGCTTGGGGTTGTGTTTGCCTGGGTGACCCCGGTGCCATGAGCACAGCGTCCCAGTGCCCCACTGGCCAGGCAGGGTTGGCATGGCACGGCATGGCACGGCACCCAGACCTGCACCCTGCCGGCGAGCTCAAGCTGGGTGCCAGCATCCCGCGATTGCCCACCCCACCGCCCCTCCTGAGCCCAGGGGTTTCGGTGCGGCGGGGGGC